GCCGTCGGGTGGGGGACGCGCGGGGAGGAGGCGGGGAGAGGGCGGGAAGGGCGCAGCGGGCCGCGGCCAGGAGGTTCCCCGCCCTGCCCAGGTGTGGGCCAGGCGCCTTCGCGCGTCCCCTCTGCCCCATCTGCCTGGCTTCGCCCGGGACGTCGCCACCACCCGTGCTGCTGCCTTTGACTCCGCACGGCGCGGGCCTCGAGTTCCAGCTTCCCAAAGATCCAGCTGGAGTTATTAGTTGCAGGCTTTGGGGGGGTTTTCTGTCCTGGGAATTAAACTCAGGACATTGCACAGTTATATCCCTGGCCCATTAGTTGCGTTTTGTTTGTTGACACAGGACCTCACTATGTAGTCCAGGCTGGCCTTGAACTCGCTATGTAGCCCAGACTCGTCTCGGATTCGCTGTGATCCTCCTCCCCCAGCCTCCCCAGTGCTGGGACTACAGACCCGCAACACCAAACCTGGCTTTTAAACGTATTTTAAGGAGCCCATCTAAATGAAAAATAAGCCAATAATACAAGGACAATATGTTGCGCTTAAGTGCATTTGGTAGACTCAAGTTCCGGGTTTAGGGTCGGGGTAAGTAAATCCTCTTAAGAGCTTGGGTGTTCACCCTCCTCACAGCACGAACTGCAGTTCCAGACTTCCCCGGAGGGGGCGCCCTGGAAGAGTCACCTAACGCACCCACAGCCCAGGCTCGCGCTCCCTGCGCACTGGGTAGGGACTCTTTGTCTCTCTCAAAATCAAACCTGCCGGCCCATGAGCCAGTGGGTAACGTCTGTCGCGAACGAAACCCCCGGGAGAGATTACCCACAGCACACTGCACATGCGCAGGATTATGCCGGCGAGCAGTTGCCTTAGAGTGTATAGAATCGAGCCAGGTGTGGTGGTGCACGCCTGTCATCCCAGCACCCCGGAGGCTGAGATAGCAGCACCACCAGGAGTTGGACGTCAGCCAGGGGGGTCTAGTGATTTCAAGGCCAGTCTGGACTGCATACTGAGATCCTGTCTTAAATAACAAAGA